GGAAACTTCTTCTTAGTTTTGGGTTGGATCCCTCCTTGACAAATTTCTACCCATTACTTCTTGTCCTGCCTTCAGGTGCTTTGGAAAATAGATTGACTTCCTCTTTTCTGTGACAGCCCCTCAAATATTTGAAGACTGCTATCATGTCTACTCTTTTTCTTCACTGAACATCCCAGTTCTTGTGACTATTCCTTGAATAGTGTAGCCTCAAGTCCTCTAATCACCTTTGTTGCGCATATCAGCATTTTTAAAAGTCTGGCTAGTCTTGGCTTTTATTACGCTTAAGATACAACATCCCCTCCCCCGCCTTAAAAAAACAACAATACCACAGAAGCAAATGTGGAAATCACATCCTTCTAAAGGGCTAAATGTTGACCTTCACAGACTGTTACAAACTCATTCTCATTCTCCTATAACTTGCCAAATGTATGATCTGCAGACTTAATAGGTAGCCATGTAATCATTCTTAATCTGAATCGAGTCATTCTGTTGCCCTGGGAGATGGCAAAGATGGCATTATCTCCCCTCAGAAGTTGACTCCTATTTCAAGGTAGTGCTGAAATCATTTCTCGATCAGTTGGCCACTTTAGGGTTGTAAGACAGGCTTCATGGCACATGTATCACAGAAACATACAATCATACATTCCAACAACAGAGGGTTGCTCTCTAAGGGTATTTCCTCATTCTGATTAGCAGCAGAGTTGATTCTGGTTTGGATTCCCACTGACAAATATTTGGATCATGAAGCAGAATAGATTTTGATGCAGGATTTATTGTACATCTTTGCCTCATTTCTATGCACTAGTGCACAAATGAAACACTCCAGAAAAATCAAATCTTTGCATAATTAGGATCAAGAATTACCAGAAAAATGCAGCAATTGTTGGAGTCATTAAAATCAGATGGAATCTGATAGTTCCTTTTCTCCAACTAAGAAATGTTATCGAAATGAGCTATAGCTCATTATATCAAAATATCTAAAATGCTGGAGTTGTGTGGATGCATGTATTTGTGTGAGAGTGGGAGACAGAGAAAATGAATATATGTGGTAAATGTCAAAAGATATTTCAAATTATAATAATTATTGCATGTGGAATATTGCAAAGTATTATTCCATTAGTTTGATGTTCCCAAGTTGACTTGACAAGAATATTATGCATTATTATGAAATATTCCAAACATAACTGTGAGAAAATCCAGGAAAGACGACTATGGAGCAGAGCTGTCAAACTTCTGGCCCATGGGCCAGATGTGTCACACACTGGCCACACCCATGCCCGGTTTGGTGAAGGGGGAAAAAGTCCCAATACGTCACATGATGACACGAGTTTGACACTCCTGCTATAGAGAATAAAATGAAATCCATGCTGTATATGATTAAGAAATGATGTTTTGCAGTTGGAAAAAGCTAGGGAGGATAATTAATTGTGATTGTGGCTTCCCTCCCTCATGTAAATACTTGGGAATTTGAAGACACAGCATCTAATTTGATGAAGAGGGCCGAACAAATGGCTATACCAATATCTCTTGTATTGATTTTTGCAGATTTGGGATTGATTTTATTTCAGAGTTCCACATAGTGGGTTCATGAGTTTCTATAAATCAGCACTTCAGATGTTACTGAAAAAAGTTGAGGATTATTTCATTTTTTGTTGTTGTTGTGGAGCAGTTATTCAGAGGCCATTACTTATGGTTTAGAACAGGGTTACCACTATCTTTTCCATGTTTCTCCTCCAAGCAGTTTGTTAAAAATTTATTATTCTTTTCTGTGATATTACTAATAAATCTTTTCCTTGGTAGCTCAAGTGGCAAAGTTTAGTTAAAGTTGTAATTTGGAGAAAAAGCAGTATGGTTCTGCTTTTTGTTGTTGTTGCTGTTTTAGCCTGACATAGAATATATGCCTCCCCAGTTTGGGGAGTGAGCAATGAGGCGACAGAAGCTCTCAAAAGTTAAATTAGTAAACATTAAAATGGCAGGTGGAATACTTTAGTGTCTGAACACTTTGGTTTACAGTATTTATATGGCATTTTAGAAAAAGTTCATGTTACAGACATTTTTAAAAATTCTTCTTGTGAATTGCCTAAATAAAAGTTTGTAATGCAACCACAGTTGGCATGCCATTCCATACCTGTGGTTGCTGTACCTCAGATTATAAAATACTGTAATTTCAGGGAAAGTTCAGAAGAGTGCTTGAAAATATTATGGAGCTTGAATGCCTTTATGTCAAAAGGTTATGTATGGTATTTGCATCTTTCTAGTTTAGTAAACAAAGAGACACCTGACAGAAACGTGGAGAGTTGTGTTTGTTGAAAGCGAAGTGGATAAAGCCAGGTTTTCCCCTCATTTTCATATGTCAACCCTGGATTCATCTAATGAAGCTGACGGAGAACAAAGGTTGCATTTCATTTTCTAAATGCAGTTACAATAGTGGTATTAACTTCCTTCATATGCAGTAACAGTCACCAGCCTGAACAGCTTCAAAAAGAGAGCAGGTAAGTTTATGATGAGACCGTATCAAAGATAAGATGCCTCTTTTTACACTTTTCAGGGAAATCAGATTGGCACCATGTGGAAAATAAACTGTAGATGGGCCTTTGGTATGATCAGCAGGACTGTTATCTCTGGTTTTAATATCTCAGGGAAAGCCAAGGAAAATCATCAACACCATAAAAAAGCAAAAGTTAGAATCTTTTGGACATGTGATGCCACACCCAGAAAAACATGCTATATTTCACTTAATCCTCCAAGGAAAGATTGAAGGCAAATGAGGCCCAGGTAGAAGAACATCATGGCTTCAAAATCTAAGGGATTGGTTTGGACAAAACAGTACTTTTTTTGTGTAGCTGTTGATAAAAATAGGATTGCCACCATGATCCAACATCTGATGACAGATATGGCACAAAAGAAGAAGCACTTAGCAATAGTATTTAGATTTATATACTGCTTCATAGTACTTTACAGCCCTTTCTGTGGTTTACAGTCAGCATATTGCTCCCCAACAATCTGGGTCCTCATTTTACCCACCTCAGAAGGACGGAAGGCTGAGTCAGTCATAAAAGCATGAGTATTCAGAAGGAGGGGGGGATTGTACTATAATATTCTATTTGCTATCTCTCCTCTTTGGATCCTGCCCTCCCCTTCAGAGACAGGGAGTCCAAAACGACTGGCCTGGGCAGGAAACTATGGAAACAGGAATGTCAACATCAACACACAATTCTTATTATTTATTTATTATCATTTCTTGCATAAGCATTGCATCAATTTATGCGCAGACAAAAAATTCTGGTCCCACTTTTCTGGAAATTTATCTTCTTCGGAAGGAAAAAAAATACTTTATAACATAGTACTTTTGAAGGTTAACCCAGAAAATACATGGCAAGATACTGCATCTGGTACTTAGAATCCAGATGCTACAATATGGACATGTTTTGCAGATTGCCTTCTTCTGATTATGAATGCACTATATTGCCTTTTTTTTAAAGAATACCTTCTTTATTTTTTAAAAAAATTCTGTCAAGTTCATATTGGTCAAAAAGACAGTATATTTTTTGGAAAAAACACACACACACACAAAAGCAACGATTCACTACTTTGACAACAGAACCAGATTTATCTTTCCACAAAAATCCAGAAATAATTAAAGACATTTGCTTTCCTGTTTTTCCAGTGTCATTTAGCAAACATATTGGTTATTTGTAACCCAGATATAGAAGGCACAGGCATCTGGAGAAAATATAATGACTGGATTCCTAAAACAGGTTAATTTTAGGACACCCCAGAATGAGGCTTTCTGCCCTTTCCTTCCTTCCAGTAACTTTCAGGAGGGTCACTTGAACTACAAAGAGACCCTTTGGAACATGTGGAGAACATCAGGAAGTTCAAAGAAAGGTATCTTCCTATGTTAAGTAAACATCTTTTGGGTTTCAAGTCATAGCCTAACATTTTTCCAAAGGCAACTATACTGTATTTTGGAAGGACTTGATGCTCACTTTAAAAATTTGCTATGCCTTACTATTCACAAACATCTGTTTCCCCATTAAACAATTTTCATCTGGCCCTCATTACCTCAACCTTTTAGACTGCATATTCTAGTTCAGACCTAGCTAGTTATAAACGGACACATTTCTGGAAACACAAGTGCCTATTTGAAAGCTACAGGAAAATTTACTTTACAACAGAGTTGGGTTACAGCAATTATATTTTGCATTCTTTTTTGGCAGGAGCGAAAAATGCACCATATTTTAGTCACTTTTTAAATCAAGTTCAAGTGTTCTTCTAGTATTCTAAAAAGTAAAACAAAATAGAAATGAGAATAGAAGATTTAGAACTTTTCTGTGCCTTTACTATTTTCAGATTTTACCAGAGCATCTAACTTCTAACAAGTCAGTATTTCCTGCATGATTCCCTCCATATCTGTTGGGCCTTCACTTCTATTAATCTCAGTCAGCATGCCTATATCAATTGAAGATTATGGGAATTGTAGTCTAACAGAAGGAAGCCCACGGGGGTGGGGATATTCTAAATTTTATCAACCATTTTGCTGCTTAACTGAATCTTTTTAGTGAGCCCAGTTTTCTCTGCCTTTTCAATCCAAGTATATTGGGATAATTGGAATTCTAAATAATACTAAATAATGCAGATACCCTCCAATGAACCAGAACTTTAGTGTTCCTTTCTAAGTACCTTGCTTTAATCTTTTTCCCTTCAGAGGCATTTTTAACACATTCTCTTCTTTGTGCAATTAAAGAAACACAGTGCAAATAAAATCATCACTCCAGTCACTAAGATTAGAGATGATAATCAGGGTCTGTTTGGAGAGATCAAAGCTGTTCGGGAGAATCTGATGGAATGAGTTACCCATGATTCCAGTTCAGTATTTCTTTGTTGATGGTATTAGGAGAAGAAAAAGGGCATCCCTTTTAATCCATTACTCTATACAGAACAGATGCTTTCTCATTCTCTTCCACCCTGACCCCAACCCCCAGTACTCCAGGCCCCACAGCCAATGCCCTTCTATCAACATGTTTTTTTCTCTCTCCAAACACACAGCCATACCCTGTTGTACCATTTTACAGGCAATGATAAGAATGTAAATGTTCTTTTACATTCTCAAAGAAACAAGGAGTATGTAAAAATAAATAGCCTCCCAGCCCTGTCAGGGTGAAGACAAAGACTCTGCTTCTTTAGTTCTTTATCCATCTGAATGGGAAGTGCAAATTGTTTGGAGAATGCCAGAATCTGGGCTGTAAAACATGTTTGCCACTATTAGCAAACGTGTGTCAGTGGTCCTTGTTGGCAATGAGTGCATCAGCTTAGTTTCATGCTAATAGTCACAGCCCGTTTGTAGACTTCAGTAACATTATCACAGTCTGCCAGAGAGAAACAACTGTCTGCAAGGGGTTTTTGGCACTGAGTCACTGTCCAGCGTCGGAGTCGGCGACCCTTGGTTTCCACATCTCCCTCCTCCAGCTGCAAGAGGTCATCTGCAGAGACAGAGCCACGCATGGAGACCCCTCCACTTCCTGGCATTCGATCAGGCAAATCAAGCTGGTCAAAGGACTCTGTGGAAAGGATGCTGTCTTCACTCACAGCGCTGGATGGGCAAATGCGAGAGGCGAGGGGCAGCTTGGGCAAGATCACCTCAGGGAACGTTGGGAGGACTTTGTCGGGCACACCATCAGACTCGGTGCTGCTGGAGGAATACTTGCCATTATATTTCAAAATACCTTTCCGCCTGGCCTGATTGTCACTGGAGTTGTGAGTGGAAGAGGGTGTGCCCACAAAGACACTGGCATTAAGGTCTATGTTTTCAGAGTCTAAAACATCTGCAAATTCACTACGCTCTGAAGATGAGTAATAACCAGACTCTCTTTTTGGTGGCTTTTTCAGAATTCCTTTCTTGGGCACTGGAAGGACAGCTACTACATCCTCTGTATGGCAGGCCAAGGATCTGGAGGATAGGACACAAGCTAGCTCAACTGTAGGTCTAGTATTGTCTTCTTTTTGTGTATCAAGAGGAGCTACCACAGTTGAAGAAGGACCCTGGGACTTCTCACAAGAGTTTCTCTTTTTCAATATGCCTTTAGGTCTCTTTAGGATTGATTTGGATTGGTTCTCTGGTGCCAGGCCTGTTTCTTGCACAGCATGAGACACGTCATTCTCCTTTTTTGACTTCTTGAGTGAACGCTGCTTCTCCAACGTGACACCAGGGATGTGCTGTTTAAAAAAGCAGCGCATCTTGGACCCATTTTCAAACAGAGGCCTGGAGGAGCGACGAAGCCAATCTGCAACAGTAGCCAATGGAGATTCATCCTCTCGCAAAGACTCCTGTTCCCCAACTGGCACTTTGTAACCCCAGTTGATCCACCAATGGCTGGCTATGTCCTCAATGGTAGCTCGGCGTTCTGGATTCACCATTAGCATCCACCGGATCAAGCCACAGGCATCTACAAATCAAAGAAATCATATGAGATGTACAGAGAAGGGACATGCTTCACATCACAGAACTCTTTTCAAATTTTAATACAAGAAGATCCTATTTCAGCTAATGACCTAGATCTGATATCCATCAGAAACTCCAAAACTGCAAATATAAGAATATATTTTTATAGACCTCACATTCCCAGAAAGGGGTAATTTAGGACATCAAGTCTAGCTTCTTCTCAGTCAACAATTCGAAGTAAAGCCTCCCATATGAAGAGCTATCCAGCCCAAGCCTTCCTTAAAACAGTTTTACTGTTAACTTAACTATGAAATATTTTTCCTAGAAGAAATGGCAAATCGAAAATCGCTCTGAGTTAAAGCAGAGCTGGTGATTATGGTGAAATGATATATTTTCAAAGGAAGCTTGCTAAAGCTTCGAAGAATTTTGTTAGAAGGAACAATACAAATGGAAACAAATCAAGTTCTAGAATATAATTTGAAGGGGCTAAAAATCAAGATTATTAAAAGGAAGGAATATAATGTTGGTGTCAGGATTCCGGCAGAAAACATTGTCTATACATGTTTTATAGTTGTCAGTTGATTTGTTTGATCAAGGTTAAAATAGGTATGTTATCTCTGGTATCCTTCAATCAACTTTTGCTGATCACAACTAAATGGTGAAGTTTTAATGACTTGTTTCTAGATAAGAGATAGGACATAAAATCATTTTTGTAGTTTAAGAAAAAGTGATAATCAGTTTGCCCAATTGTTAATTATAAGTAAAAAAAAAAGAATTCAAAGATTTTTGTTTAAAAACTCTCCCCTTATTCATCAAAATAAAACTTAGATATTAAAGCCTTTGTTAAGAGAAACTCAAACTCTGAATGTTATATAAGCCTATATATAGAATTACAGTTCAGAAATATCTGTTTCTCAAATATGAGATTATTTTTTAGCCTAATGCCTATTCCTACTACTTAATTTGCCATAACTTTGCCAGTTCTATGGAAGGAATTACACCTGATTTCCAATGGAAAGCATAAAATATCCTGGTAGTTGTTATCTTATATAAAGCCGATTTGATATATTTTATGCGACTATATGGTTTGCTAATGTTTAACAAAGAAATAAATGATTGGAAAATGATTTCAATTTTTACATTTTTATCAGTGTACATAAAATCGGCTTCCAGGTTTTTACAATGTTGGCATCAAATATGAAACTGATCTAATTACTACATTTACAATAATTTTTAGAAAATAAATTAACATTTCAGCAATCAGTACTACATCATCATCATCATATCTTGTGCTAATTTTCACTAACTCTAATATTGTTGATGAATTTAGTATTTATTTGTCACTGTGATCTCCTTAGCAGCATGTCAGTAGTTCTATTTAAATTCTGTACCCATTCAATCATTCTGTATTTCACCAGAAGTTTGCAAATAAGTCCTAACAAATGTTTTGAGTTTTGAGTTTTCAAATCCAGTCAAGTCTGTGAGTATTCCATTTTGTTTTTGTAGTTCCTCTAGATTATTATTTATGCAAAGCATCTGAACAGCTACCCTTCCACAGAAGCAATCCAGCCATAAAATGACATAGACTAATCTGTAATGACATAAACTAATCTGTAAATTAAGCAGCTGGCTTGGTAATAGAGTTTGAAATGCAGTACGGCCAATCTATTTCCTGCTTTTATTACACTTAATCCTTGGCCTTTTTGAATTATAAAGCTTGGTCTGCCCCTATTTTAATATCTTGTCTTCAGTTCTTCCTGGAATCACATGAAATAGAAATGTAAGCCTTGGGAAAAATACTAATTTTTATTACTGCAATAAAAACAGTACTCAAAGTAGTGTGTGATTAATAAAAATAGAGTGGAATTATTCCCTAGGCAGAAAACCCCTCATCCGGTTTCAACTTACCTGAAAGTTTGGTGGGCTCTTTGTAATCTCCTCTTGTAATCTGTTTTACCAGTGTCTTGTAATCATGGCTATCAAATGGCATTGTGCCATGGATCAAAATATAGAGAAGAACACCAAGAGACCAGCTATCAACCTGCAGATATAAAACCAACTGTTAACTTGCAATCAGTCTACCCAAGGAATAAAACTCTTCTTTGATCTTTATGTTGTTAACTGCTATTACCATCAGGAAGTGCAAATAAGAACATCTTGCCCCGATCATTGCCAATAAAACAACAATGTCATTCTGTCAGAGTGTACCTTGTCTGTAAACTGCACAGTAGTTTATGGCCATCAGTTTGCTCTTAAGCACCCAATGGGTTTATTAAATGTCATATGCATGACCAGGTGCATAATCTTGCAACAATATTAAGTATTCAGTGGGAAAAGCCAGGAATTTCTGCTATGTGTTTTGCAGCCTGAATAGTATTAATAGTCCAAATACTTCTCCAGTATTGGGGAAATTTTATTTTATCAGTTTCCTTACCTCAGGTCCTTTGTAAGGCCTTCCGTTAACTATCTCAGGAGATGCATAGAGGGGACTGCCACAGAAGGTTTGAAGAAGCCTATCTTGTTGGAAAACATTGGAAAGGCCAAAATCTGCAATCTATAATGAGGAACAATAATTTCAGATTAATGCTGTTTAATACTATCAGAAAACAAATAGAAAAGACTTCCTTTAGAACAAGTTTTACTTTCCAACCCCAAATCAGCTAGAATTGTATTTTTACAGAAAGCCTTTTAGTTCCTGCATTGTCCACATAAACAAGCAATCTGGCCCTAGATTTAGAGTTGTCAGATCATCCAGATAGTACAGCATATATAATCAAAGTTTGCAAATTTGACAACAGCTTATTGTTTATGTAATATAAATTGGGGCCTAGGCCCAGCAACATGTTAGAGAAGGATCAAAATGATCAAGATGGCAACCACAGAATCACAATGGAAACCCTACTGTTATGTGTGTGTAATGTTGACATAATCTAGTGCCCTCAATCTGTGCTTAATTACAAATCCTTTATACCCAATGTCCCACTTGCCGTCTTGGTTAATTGTGATAAGATAATGAATTATTCTCAGATACACAACTGAATATTTTGTCTAAAAATGTTTCAAAGTCTCTTTCGCTGCCCCACAAATGTCTTCTTTTCTTTTTCTTAAACAAACCACATCTTTTGGTATTCGATTTCACCAAGAGTCACCTTGTACTTTAATCTTCATTATCAATCTGCCTGTTTTGCAGAACAGAAGATAAGCTAAACTTCTTGGCGACTAGTTTTTAATCTTTTTCTTGTTTAAAGGAGCCAAGTAATCCACGCACAAATAATCAAAATCAAGGGTTTGGATAACAGCATCTTTTGAGGTTTTTGAAGGTATTAAAAAAGGCAGGACTCATATTTCTTCTGAAACTCTGAAATCTATTAGATGTTAGTAGGTAAAGTGGAGTCATCAATGCCTGAAGCTTGAAGGCACAGAATGTAGCAACCTTGCTAAAAGTAACCAATTTTAAAGCTGACTGCTTGTGAATCTTAGTCTGCAATGACATTGTGCAATCTCTAAGATTATTTAGAACATTTTCACACTGGAAGGCTTAACATACCAGCATCTCCACTAAAATCCATCCTGACAATATAAATGTCTGCATTTGTGGAGGAGGATTGAGAAGTGGGGAATTCATCACATACTATCCAAACATTTCAAAATTGCTATTTTAAATGGACCTTCATCGTATTTTAAATTCTTCAATAAGTACCATAGGAAAAAAGTACTCAAATGCAATTTCATGCCAATTCCAACTTACCTTAATGTTTCCATTTGCATCCAAAAGAATATTTTCTAACTTCAGATCTCTATGAACAATTCCATTCTGTTAGGGAAAAAAAAACAGAAGTCTGATTATTTTTTTTCCTGTTAGAAGACAAAACAAAAGAAGGCTACCTCAGTTCATCCCATCTAACTGTGTATCATATATTAGTATTTTGCTTAAATATTTATTTTTCTATGAAGCAAAACACTAAGCCACCAAATAGAGGCACAGATGTAAGTGAAACATAGACACGTCGTATGCATACTAAGTATAGGCAGAGTAATAATATGGAATTCCTGCAGTCTTACCAGCGCAACCCATACATGAGAACTAAAGCCCCAGAAGCCTCTGCTAAGAACTGTTTTGTACCACTTAATAAAAATGCTTGCATTCAAATCTATGGTTTTCTATGCAATAAATATATGTTGAATGTGCAATTGTGTGGGAATAGTAGTAGTAGAATCTCTTGCACAATTGTTACTAGGTAACACAGATGAAATCACAATGAAGGAAAACACTCCCTATAACGCCTGCAGGATGTTTTGGTGACATATTTCCTTTTGCTACTGAGAATTCCCCTAATAGGGTGATGTGGCAAAATGCAGATTTCCTAACTAGTACATTTCTTTGCAAAGAGCAAGTTGTTATCAGTTTCTGTATCCTAAGACAATAGAATTTGTTGCAAATGAATGCAGTATGTTCCCACCAACTGTCCATGCTCATCTATAGCCCTTAACATTCCTAAACCCCAGCATTACTTCCTGAGTTACTTCCATTCCCCCCCACTTCCAAGAAAAAAGCTTTCAAAATAAGACCAGTAAACGTCTAGAATTCCAGACTGACCAGTTGTATTTGAAGCAGGTTGTCCAAATTATACCTTAGTCTGTTACATTAAGCTTTCCCCTTGACTTTCAAGTGCCATTAGCTTTGAATACAAATGAATGGAAGCAGGTGCTTTCCAATATAACAAGTGACTTATTTTTGGCATGTAATTTGAAAGCTCTGGACAAATTAATGTGATTGTTGCAAGGTTACTCTTTTTAAGGAAGTTTGCTCATGCTCCATTACCTTGAAGAGAGCTCAATCTCAATGATGAAAAAGTTTGTTATCTGTTCTCTTTTCCATTAAACACCCAAACAAAATAGGAAGCGTGGGGAGGTAGGGTTTGCTATATTTCCTTTATACAACAGCACAATATAGGTTTCCCCAGTGCTCTTTCGTAAGTAAATGAAAAACTAAGATTTACATAATCAAGTTTTTAATCCACTATAATGTCATGCCAATAAGACTTTCCTGACGGTAAACCTGAAATTCATACTACTCTAATTATCCTTATTGGGAACGTCTACTACTTTAAGTAGTACCCAAAATCCAGCAGGCCAAAATCACCCAGCCTAATCATTTTGACTTGCTAGCATAGTTTTTCACAGTAGATGTGTGTTTCCTAATGCAGCTTCTCACAGTTGCATCCCTAGGGCCAGATGGGATATTTCAGCTAACACCACAATCAACTAGTTTGTGCAGATGTTATATGTAACAGGAATCTTAATACACAATCCTTTCCCCCGCACCACACACTTTGAGGAAGACGTTCACCTTCTAATGTTTACATCTTCCACAATGGAAGGAGAAAACTCCTATGAAAGCTAGGAATGAGGAAAAAAGTTCAATTACGTTGCCTATATATATAAAAAGCTAAGGACACCAGCCAACAACGTTATTAATTAGTATGCATGGATGTGTTCCATATTAAACTAACATAGCATTACACTGCTATAAGGGAAAACTGAAAGAAAAAACCTATTGTACTTTTGATAGATTGTAGGAAACTCATGCATCCCCATTGTGATAATATTTAAATAGGGTAATTGTGTTTCAGCTTTCAACCATCTTAAATAACTAGATGTAAAACATGGATATGAAAACATAAATTGAAATATTTTGGGTTTTGTTTTTTTCATTTTCACTAACCTTATGACAATAATAGATTGCCGACACCACTTGCCTGAAGAAGTGCCGAGCTTCCTGCTCCGTCAATCTCTGGCGCTCACTAATGTAATCATACAGATCTCCTTTGCTGGCATATTCCATCACAATGACAATCTTGCTACTGTTTTCAAATACTATACAAACAAGAACAGAGAAAAGGTTAGGAATGACTGTAAAGAAAAATTCTATATATCTTAATGCCAAATTCTTCTAATAATAAAGCTGTCACTTTAGTTCCTGTCCTGACCTGCAAATTTATATATTTGTGCAAATGTATGGCCAAATAGTTTAACAGTTTTAACTGCTGTGGTATGTACTATAGCAGGTAAATTAGATTTAAGTTTAATGAATTTCCCATTAGGAGCTGTAACTAAAACAAAATGTTAGTTGTGGACTATACCACCTGCCAAAGAATTGCAGGGATCAATACATGGATACAAGCTCTTTTCATCACTGAATATAATAATGGTTTAACTTTAGCCCAGGACCAGATTATTTCTTTTACCAATTCTTTTGTTGTCTTTCTTGATTCTGGATTACAACACTAGCAATAATAAAAAGTTAAGATGGTATGACCAAGGCTCGCCCAGATTTCATGTCTGACACATGGAATGCAGTTAAAAAATGAGTGAAGCTTTGATGGCAGAATCATGGCCACACATCATGATGTTTTTGACCACATCCTCAGTACCCCTGCAATAATCAGAATGGTATTTTTGAAGTGTTAACTTTTTATTTCTTGTTTAAGAATACAACACTTTAAGATCTTTCACCTAGTCGTGCCTTCATGATATTGTACATAGAACCTAAACAAAGAACAAAGAAGTTACCCAGACTCAAAGTTCTTTATTCTCAGTCTTAAAATCATAACAATCAACTGGTGTTCAGAACATGTACAAGTTGTTTTGTACACAAACACACAAACACCAAAAAGAAAAAGAAAGGAAGAAAAAACAAGGAGAAAATATGAACAGTACTGAAAAGTACAACGGGAAATTTTCAGTGTTGCTGTGTTTCATATATTCAGCTGCATTTCAAGCAGAATTTTATGAACCTCCTTCTCTTGTGTTTAAAGGATGAAGAACAGCATTTATTTATGTGTAAAAACTGTAAACATGGCCAACTCTGTTTGAAGAGAAAATCTTGATATCTCTTTTCTCCATACTATGTAATTGGCCTCCTAATCAAGACTGACCAAACCAGTTTAAACTCTTCCTGGGCATTGCCCTGAGATGTTTTTATACTTTATACTGCCACATTTCCAGCTTGTGCCAATATGCAACAGGAAAAAGAAAAAAGTTCTTTGAACAAGTGTCTCTTTTAGAAATTTCTACCCTCATAAATGCAAAAGGCCATGGCAGTCTTATTAAGCCACAGATCAGATGAGTCAATCTTTAACGCTCTGTTTCAATAAATTATAATCTGCCTTGAAAGTTTGGCAATTGAGCCTATTCAAAGTACAACATGTATAAATAAATCATTCCACTAAAATATCTTGATTTAGCTACCTGTTCATTTTCTACAAATGCTGCATTAAGCAGCTTTGAAACATAGAGATAAAAACAGTTCCCTGTCCTAAAAACAGCTACAATTTCTAGAATTCTGTTTCCTCCCTTTCTGAAGAGTGATAGGCCTGAAAAAAGTAGATAAATTTAAATTCAATTTAAACAAACAATTCTTACCTTCATGAACAGCGATGATGTGGGGATGATTGAGAGAAGACATGATTTCAATTTCCCTTCGGATATGGAGAAGATCCTGCTCATCCTTGATTTTATCTTTCCGGATGGACTTGATAGCAACCTGGAAATGCAGTTTTCCTCCAATTAACAGCGAAGCAATCTTTCTGAATGTAAAACTTATCAATGCACTTCTTGATTTTTTAAAAAAATATTAATTTGTATTCCACCTTGTGTACCGCTTCAAGTAGTGCATATTGTAATGCTTTTCCCTCCTATTTTTCCTATAATTCTGTGAGGTAAATTGGGCTGAGAAAGAGTGATTGGCCCAAATTTACTCAGCAGGCTTTCATGCCCAAAGGAAGACTAGAAGTCATGCTCTCTCTGTTTCTAGTCCAGCACTACCCAAAAATTGCTTCTTACTTTGCTTTTATTTTGAGACCTACCATTAAGTTTAAAAACGTAATGTTAGTAGCATTATCAGAATAACTAATTGTGTATTTTAATATTCATACTCCTGGCCCCTAGACCTAACACCCCCCATTTGGAAACATACATTTTGAAAATTCTATGATTTTAATTTTTTTAAAAAAATATTTATGTGATTTATCCCTTCCTCAATCTGAAGGTCATCTAGGTCATTTTTTATTGAATTAGTTCAGTGCTTAAAAATTTCTGGGTTTATGTTTTAAGTTTTTTTTTTAAGGATTAAGAAAAGCAAGAATTTATCTGTTAGCCACAAAGATGTCAGCACACTGGCACTTAAAACATTTTGGCTATAGATCTTCTTAAGAAAAGGACTTTTCATTTTTAAATTAAACACCTTTTGTTTTTCTTTAAACAAAATATCTGCTTGGTTCTTTTCAAAGCAGCAACTTTGCACAGGCTTAATACAGAGCAGGAGTTTGGTGTTTTGGTAAAGTTCTTGTAATAAAACATAGCTAGTGAATAGAAAGTGAGCAGAGCACATGACTCTAACTGTTTTATTTGCTGCAAATGAAAACATTCTGTTATTCTCAGCCATCCATTATGGCTGAAAATAAGTCACTTGGTCAGATTTAAAACAAAAAACAACAACAACAGTTTGGCACTGAAATAAGGCCATAAAGTTCCAGGTACTATTTTCTCTTCTGAACAAATACATTTTTTTAAAAAAATGGAACATAGAAGTTCCTCCAACATAGCCAGCTAGTCAAAATGCTGCAAATCTGAAATAGCAGAAGCAAACTTTATAAAAGACTGCTAAGGATTGCTTTATTATGAAAATTCTTTTCCAAGTAAAAGAAGGAGAGGAGAGGGAAAGTGAGCAAGCTAAAGAATAGATGTAGTTAATCCTCTTTCAAAGAGATTGTGAAGACAATGCATGTCTTGGGTTGAATTTTCAACAGAATCCGGCACAACCTCCATATCCTCCCTCAGACAAGAATGCGGAACAGCATTAATCCTGTAAAAAGATCCTGGAAGACACATAATACTAAGTCTCCTGGCAACAAGGAAAGGGAGGCCTGAAATGTTAGAGCTCTCCTATCTAGCCACAATGAACTCAAATTCCTTCTTTGCTATAAAGGGAGAGAGAGGCAGAGAGCATTCAACTCTTCCCAAAGATGGTGTATTTTAAGGCATACACTCCAGACCTCAGCAACAAAGTCATCTGGACTCCCAACTAGTGGTAGAACGAAGAGATGGTTAACCTGCTAGGTTGAATCTCAACTTGGAATTCTAAAAAGCAAATTCATTTCCCCTTCTTGCTAAAAAAAAAAATAGTTTTATCAGTCACCTGAGATTCAGTTTATGCAGATATAATTTAATTTTGTTTCAATGGGTTACAAGCAAAACAGAGGTATATGACTTTGCCCTAGTACTAATATGAACATTATTCTTCATTTCACGTGAAGCTATTTTCAGAAAATACTAAACAATCAGGAGATATTCATTTAATACTTACACATTAATGTTAGCCACTTTTGGGGGGTGGGTGTGGGGTGGAATCTTTGATTCCTTCTTTGGAAGAATGGCTAATTAGATAATAGGAATATTGGTCTGATTTAGGAATAACATGTTAAGTTACTCTGATAAAGAATTTAATCCTAACTGAAAAATATTGTTGGGTCATAATGTTATATATGGATCTGTGCTGTGTCCAAAATTCAGCTTCTGTTACAGATAAAATTATGTCTTTACTGTTTTATAGCTTTTTTACTGATTCGAATTGCTTTAACAGAGTATGTTCACTTGAAAATTCAGTAAAGATTGGTATGCTATTTCCCAATATGTTTTATATCTTTTTTTATATCTTTTATACACTTTCCAGTTTTTTTTATAAATATAATAAACTAAAAAAGAAGTTGGCCACTTGGCACACATGCATTGTCACACTGGGATTGTGGCTACAGCCTTGAACTGCCTGATCCCTCATTGCATCCACACCATTTCCTTCTTCTTTATGATGCGCTGTTGTTTTTTAAAGGGAAGGATATAACTCCAAAATATAAACCAATTATATGAACTCAAGAGATATATTTATCTGTCATGAATCATGTCTTGCAACAAAAAGATAAAAGGAAAGTAACAGGCCTGCCTGTGCAAGGAATAAACTTTTTTTCTGCAAACTGAGAACCACACCTACTGTGAGTGGTATGCAAGGATCCATACTTTCAAGAACTGAGATGAACGCTCCCCAACATATGAATTAAGTAATATAAATTCTATAATAATTTAAGAGCATGAGTTTGGGTCTATATCATAATTTATTTTCTTCCTTACATAAAAAATGTAATATTGTACACACTGTGAGGGAGTTCCAAATGATAGATAGACAGATAGATAGATAGATAATCGATGAATGGACAATCTGCCAGCAAAACATTTGAAAGAACTCGGGTGCTTTGGAAGAAAAAAAAATGTGGGCAACTCACAAAAGATAATGAAAAGAGAGAAAAGAAACTGAAGAAAGAGCTTTCTCACTTATAGATTTTGTTTCATTCACATTTGTCAGCCTTTCCCTATCTTTTCTAGATTAAAATGTTCTACCCAATTAATACATCTTAATTAAAAAAATGTTTTAAAAACTACAGGAGCCAATTAGTTTATTTCCCAGGGGAATGGGGCAGGGAGAGACACAAATGGACAACTAGTGCAAGGGAAATATAAATATCCTTTAAAGGTTTTGATTCACAACATCAATAAGCACATATGCAATGAACTGCATCATTGTAGTATCTCCAGTGTCAGAGATTCTGAGAATGTGGTCCAAAATATCTTATATAAGCAGCTCTCCTCTCTGTGGTTGATATTGTACAATATAAGTATAAGCTTCTTTCATTAAATGGACTTTGTGCTAGGTTCAAGTTTCAATCTCCAGTTCTTCCCACTTCACTGCCTCATCATTTGGATAAGTTTCTGGAATGTGCGTCGCTGGTGGGCAAAGCCTTTCCTGGTAAACTAGTAGTTGCCTTCCCTAACCTATAAAAGTCCTTGTCCCATCCATTTCTTAAATCTAAGCCCCAACTACACTCCTGACCAAGAGGTCCGAAATGTTCCTTCAAAGCTAGGCAGAATCGCCCTAGAAGTTTAGAAAGATTGCCTAATGTGGTCAGAGCTGTTAATGCTGAAGTACCACCATTCCTTCATTTTCAGTACATTGTCCAAGATGCATCCCTCAGAGTCTGTTCAGAAAAGAGACACATCTATGAAAACTGCCCAGAATTAAGGGACAAGTACACTTGACCTATGCTCCATGTCTTATCAGGGCAATCCTAAAAACTACAATATGCAAAGCTAGTTGTTCATATTTATTGCCTATTCTGATATCTTCAACATGTGTTGGGACACAGCTTTTGTCATCCTGAGCCAACACAGCTATAAGCTGTACTGGTTGCACGTTGTGAGACCTGTAATCCCACATATAAAAGACAACAGTTTAACAGACTTTTTTGTACTTGTCCTGCTACAAATTACATAATAATTATATCTTCCCATGAAATTTCATTGTTACCTACAATATGCTGTTAAGATTCAAATTGTATGTTTTGTCCTTTCCCTGCCCAACTTAGGCTCCTTTTAAACTCTAAATTAAACAGGTTATTAGAAAAACTTGCAATGTTGAGCGTAAAGCATTATATGATGTTTGATGATATGCAAGAATAATCAATATTATATACCTTTACTGGTTTTTACTGCATCTACTCCATCTGAATCTAGATGGAAGGTGCAACTATGCACAGGTAGATCTTTGGAAAATGGCTTTAAGACAACCAGCCCCATATTCTAGTTAAAGACTAGACAACCGCAAATTATGATTGCAGCTTTTTTTGGGGGGGGTTACAATTTGGTCTGAGTGCTCATTTCAAATCTGACTTTAATTATGGTTTTAATAAGAAAGAGATCTTCAAAAGGTAATAAATGTTTGCCAGCTGTGTTAGAATGAGTTCCAAATTCTATACATTGCCTTCTTCCTAACAAATCATGGCTTAAATCTGGTTGTCAAAATCCCCCGTATTTGCTGCTATGCTGGGTTTTGGTGGGGTGGAATGAAGTGGATTAATTTTTTTAGGAAAATCACCCTCCTCTTTCTTCCAACCCCTTGATTATAAGTACTATATTGTTAATAAAACTATAGAAATCCAGACCTACAGTTTGATTTGGCAGAGAGCCAAGGATTAAAAGCTACTTTCCCTAGCTTATAGATACAAAATAACAAACTGAAATAGAAGCCAATGGGCTTCACCATAGATGCACTGTCTAACAGAAAAAACAAGGCACTCAAATTTCTTTACATAAGCAATTCAGGGTGATTACAATAGTTAATAGTTTTAAAAAGCAATGGAAAGAAGTAGAACATTAAATATATATAAGTTGGTTAAATGTTTAAGCGACACCACATTCTATGTTGATTTCAAGTCTTGATTCCTACACTGGTTTGGTGAGCAAACTTTTTTTAAATATATATCTGAAGTCTAACTAGATCTAAGGGACCATTCACTAAGGTTAAATTAACTGAATCAAGATAGAGAATTCTGGGAATGGCAGTTCCCATACCTCCTGATTAGATTTCAGGACTACCCATCTCCATATCAACTCTGGGGTGTCTGACTATATAAAAAATAAATACAAAAAGATAAAATGTGATGGTGGAACAAATACATCTAATAAGGGCTTCATCTACCCTACTCCAAAATCTGAGAAAACAGACAGTTCTTCAAGGCTTTCTGGAATGTCATTATGGTAGGATTTTGCAGGGACAAGATTTCAGGTGCTGTGTCAAAGAATCTACTTTCTGGGTCCTGAAAGATGACACAATTTAATCAAGAAGACCTAGAGAATGCCCAGTCTAATGACTCTTACCAGTCAGGCAGACACCATTGGAGACTGGAGGTCCTTCAGATAACCTCAGCTCTCCATGCCATGTAGAACTTTACAGGTGATAACCAGCACCTTGAATCACACTCAAAAGCATATTGGCAACCAGTGCAGCTCATGAAGTATGTGTGTCATGCAAGCATGCATAGGCAGGCCCCCACTCCTTGCGTTATTGCATTCTTGACCAGTTGATGCTTCTGAGTGGTCTTCATGGAGAGCACACTGCAACAGTTGAACCCTAAGATGACAATGGCGTGAGTAACTGAAAGGCTGCCTGATCCAGGAGGGGCACAACTGGCTCATCAGATGAAGCTGTACAAAGGCCCTCCTGGCCAGAGCTGCCATGCGTAGGTTGGGGAAAGCTGATCCATACAATAACAAGATGTATCCTCTGAACAGAGGTATCAATTATCATATACACCTTGTTCATCTGAAAGCAGAAGCAACAGTGATATTCAAAGCTATGATTTAAATTAAGATAGGAGATGCATGATTAGATTAGCAGGACTTATACAGTACTGCAATATGAATATTTCCCAAGTTGCTGGCTTTGGAATAAAAAGGTAAAGACTTAGTCAAGTCAAGCTAAGCTTCTGTGGATTACTGAGTACCTCCATCTAGTTTTCTTGGCAATGACACAGAATTGATTTGTCATTGCCTGCTTCAAAAATGTTTGATTTCTCAGATTATATTTATTACATGAAAAAAGAGAGATAAAAGTAGCTTACTAGAATGAAATTAAGTATGTGGATTTAAGTTTGACTAACCTGGGCATGGTGCAAAAAAGAGGTAAAGTTGTACTACTTGCTATTTTTGTTGGTATGCTTATAATATTTATTCTTTCAGGCTAGTATAAACATGTAATCTCTTCTTCCACAGGGAAACAAGACTGGTGACTTCAGTCAGCATGACTCGAGCTGTTTCCTTCCCACATCGGCCCAACTTACTAATGCTCCAAGCCAATGGTGCTGCCACGGATAATTTATTTCCAAACTTTAGGCTTTTGCCAATGCTGCTTAAGCAATATATCTTATGTAGGGGTTTATGGAGAGACAAACAATACCATCATGATGAGTGCTTTCAACAAACTACAGTATTCTACTGAATGAAAGCCAAGACATAGGCTTTAGGGCAAATTTACACTGTGCTTACATAACTGCCCAATGCACATTCTTGTAGCAATGCTAATTTACACAGGAAAAACAAGGTTAAAAGGAAGATATCAGAGACCTTTGGATCTTGCTCTTCTGGATACTGTACTTTCCCCACCCCTTAACTTCCAGCCAATAAGACTAGCTTTCAATATTTCAAGTGATGCAAACATTACACAGGCAGGCAATTCATGCCAAAATCAATGATATTAAAAAGTTGAAGTGTGGGGAAGGCATAAACATAGAAGCATAAGATGGCCATCTCCCCCCCCCCCACACACACACAATTCTTTTAAAGGGGTAGCACCTACAACTCTGCCAAAGCCACCCATAGAATAACCTCAGTCCACCAAAGGCCACTGGCTCACAAACAGCTTGCCACTATCATGAAAAAGAAAAGCCAGGGAGGGAGCTTTGCAAGAGCTCTCTAAACTTATCACCCTTGCTCTGATGTAATTGCCCTTAATCCTATCACTCTTCCTCACTAGCGAGAATGATTTAAAAGAGGCATGAGAAGTCTTGCAAGACTGCCTCTCATTTGCATGGGCCTGTCTCGCTGCATGTTAATTCTCATTGTTAAAGTATATTTTGATTTGACACACTATGCCATTTTTGCACTATTTTTTGCACTACTGCATTAATTTAGAATCCAACTCCTTAGCCAAACAAGCTGGGCTACTTACATAACAAATGCTGTAAAGCCCATTGCGATCCAACTTAACAAAAGCTAATGTGTGTGTGTACATCTTTAAATCAGTGTTGACTCCTAGTGTTTTAAATGTATCCTAAATTTAGCTTTTTTTCTTCTTCTGCAAATAGTATAACAATTAGTGTGAAATATAATTAAAATAATGAACCATTATGCAATCCCACTTCTCTCAACGGCTTTGCGATTTTTTTTTCTTGCAAGACTGCTAATCTCTCCCCCCCCCCCCCCAATCAGCAAACCCTGCAGGGTGTAGGTTCCTAATTACTTTCACTGCAAAACACCTCCCCTCTCCAGCCAAAAGCCCTCCGCAGTCAATAGCTTTGCCAGTTGAGCTCCAGCAGCCAGTCAGCCCTGCGCTATTTACCGGGGAAGGGGGAAAAAAAGAAGAACGGAAGGAAGGAAGAGAGATGAACAACCCTCATTACATCAGCTGCAAGGGATCATCAGCCACGGCTGCGAAACCACAGCATTCTCTATAATGCTAAGGGAAAAGTGTGTGTGTGTGTGTGTGTGTGTGTGTGTGGTGGTGGTGGTGGTGGTGGTGGTGGTGGGGAGATTGCCGTTTCACGGGCTAAACAAGCTGGAGGATCAAAAAGAAAAGAAAAAGCCTGCAAGCTAAAGGTAAAAAGACAGAGAGGGCTTTCCTTCACTTACAAGTACACACGCAGGGAAACTAATAGCGGGAAAATTCAAAAGACCACTTGGATCGACGGATTTCCTTCAGGTTATCCACCCCACCCCACCCCACCAAAACCGTAAGAGGAAAGGATTTTGACTGGGCTCAGAACGGGGGGGGGGGAAATTAAAATGGAAACGCGCGATAGCCTATTTTTCTGGTTGCTATATTGTTTGCTTTTCAATAAACCCGCATCAAGTCGTGCTAAGTTTCTCAGCGCTGCAAACGAGTCGAGCAGCAGCCAACCGTGCAGGCAGGTTCTTGGAACAAAAGGCTAAATCCTCATGCATGCAGGCACAGGTCGCTTCGGAGTTTCAATTGCCAGCTGCCTCCCCGTCAGGCAGGCACCCCAATCAATAGACTGTGTAGTCCAATAAAGCCGGTCGCCTTCTCTGACCTGGCGCACAGAATAAAGCTAGGCTGGGACTTCACCACCCACCATCCCCTGCCACCACGACGCCCCCCTCCCCGCGCCCCCGGACGGGGAAGCCGGACCAATAACCCAGCCGAAGAGAGCAAGTTGGAAGGAAACCCCCCGGGCGCTTCTCCTTACCAGCTTGCCGGATCGCTCCCTCGCCTTCTTCACTTTGCCGTAGGTGCCTTTGCCCAACGTCTCCAGGAACTCGTAGCGGTGCCGCAGGTTATGCTTGTGATAGTGCCGCTTTACCGCTTGCTTTTTCACCGGCGCCTTTGGGAACTGGAATAGCCCATCTTTGAACAGGGAGACCGCCGGAGCCTCGGAGGGCGGGACACGTTCCATTGCCGCCCCCGCCACTCCGCGGAGCCGACTAGAATCCTAGAGCCGGCCGGCCAACACAGTGCCAATAAATGCTACAAACCTGCCCGCTTCGGACCCTCCCTCCGGCAGCTATTGGCTACGCGGCCCCACGTGGGCGCCCGTCTGTTTCGCAAGGTGTCGCCGCGCGCGCCTGGCGAGGCGGAGGCGGCGGGGGAGAGGGGGAGCGGAGGTGGTAAGGCGGTTGGGGGTAGCTTTGCACAGGAGACAATGGGGGCAAAAATCGCATTCTTTTCTAGACCCATCCACGTGAGAAAGGGGGGGGGGAGAACACCTCCCCCAATGGAATTCAGTGAGGCCTATTTCCGGGCACGCATATCATCAGGTATGTTCATGCGAGCAAGACGTAAAAAGAAAGAGGAGAATATGATCAAAGCTGCAGGAAAAGAATAAAAGCCAACTTCAGCATATTTATTTAGTTAGTTAGTTAGTTAGTCAAGTAATTATAAGATAACAGGTATAAGAATAAACATAGTTATGAATAAATGAAACGGATACATATAAGAAAAATAAAAAGAAACAAAAGGACAAGGAAGGTAGGCAGGATTGATGCACTTATGCACGCCACCCTCTTAGGAAGGGGGTGAGGTCAATAGTAGACAGTCTAAGGTTAAAGTTTTTGGGTTTGGGGAAGAAACCACAGAGTCAGGTAGAGAATTCCAGACATTGACCACTCTGTTTCTGAAGTTGTATTTCCTGCAATCAAGTTTGGTGCCCTTAACCTTGAGTTTGTATCTATTGTTTGCTCTTGTATTGTTATGGTTGAAGCTGAAGTATTCATTGACATGTAGGACATTGCAATGTGTGATTTTATATGCTATACTTAGATCGGACCGAAGATGGTGTAGATTTTCTAGGTCTAGAATTTCAAATCTAGTGGCATAAGGTATTCTGCAACATATGTATTCTGCATATGGCATACTTATTCCCAAGGAAGTTTAACAATAGAACATACTGTCCAATGTACAAAGATGGAAATATTACTCCTGGAAGAATCGAGCCACGCAAAATATATTCATAAAACTAAATGCACACACACACACAGCAGTAATCTTTCTTGAACTTTAAAAAAAAGAAATGATTTATTTGTGAGTTTTTAATGTAACCTTCCCAAAAGCCCAGGATGTTGAGCAGGCTGTCTAATTCATTCTCTCAATGAATCTTTCTGTGAGGTAGGATATATCCCAAAGTGTGATAATGGAGTCGTTATTTTTGTATCAGACTGAGGTTCCCATGACTCTATTTGCATTCATTAATATAAGAAATTAACAAGCAGAAGAACAAAAAAAGGTTAATGGAAGACTATATTGATCTACTGGTAAAATATTTTTTTATACTGGAATTGTAACAGTTGTAGAACAATCTGTTGGTTTTGGCTTGGATTCTAAGTTTTGAACCCACCAGAATACATAAATCTAAAACAGATGATCCATCCAATGTCAACTGATTTTCTCATGCCTCAATACACAACCCCATACCAATGGTTTTGGGGATGATTCAATTCTGAGAAATTTTGTTACATCTAGCCTCTGCTACACCCCTCCACATTATTGAATTTACCATTCAGTTTGATCTAGTGTATTAAATATAGAAAGTCTTCTGATTTTTGTAAGAATTTAATATTCCAATTTTGAGGCTGCCCAACTTTGAAACAACTCGGTGGCTTCCAATACAGTACAATTAAAAATAATAGATACTCCACTGAATTAAGCTTTCCCAATTAAAATCCACTCCAATTTATTATAAGTTTTTTTCATGTGCATGTGTATGTGTGAGTCATTTTGTTCATATTATTGTTAAGAAATTGGATTTCAGAAAACAGTTCTGAACTGCAAGAACACCAAGATCTCTATCCACTAATTCAGATCTGTTTTCTGTTCATCCCTGATTTACAAGAACAACACATAGATACAATAACCAATAACAAGAGGTGTGAAAGCAACATATGAGGTTTGCCATAATGAACTACACTCTTTATTTAAAGAGAAATTTATTGTTTCCTATAATGTCTACCTTGGAAATAAGTCAGACCTAGTTTAGTGACTTTTACCATATCTAAATTCACATTAACCCATCATAAGCCACCTTATATTTCTTTATTTTTTTACATGAAGTGTTCTTTAATCGGGATACTGTGATTTATAATCCATGGTTTCTGGTTCAACATATGGAGTCCATTCATACTGTTTATTAAATCATGGAAAAATAAACCATCATAGCACAATGTATATACCAAGCCAAAATCTCTCATTATAATCTATCACAAAGGTTTATTGTGAAGGCAAAATGGAACCAAGGAAACCATGTATTTGGCCGTGACCAAATTAAAGCTAAATAGAAGATGTAAATACATAATTGAAATGTAACTTTAAACTGTTCTCATATAGAAATAGCCATTTAAGAAATTTTGCCATATGGCATATAGTTAATATAAAAATATTATACATCTAAGTCATTCTCTTTTTTTAATAACACAATTTCATGCTCGACTTTAAATGCTTGTAAGGATCCTTTCTGTAGTCTTCTTTTTCTATAATTTATTATTGATCTTTAATATAATTAACTTTATGAGAATTTAAACAATATATTAAGTATACACCTGGGAGTTTTCTTGCACTGGATACATTCTTAAAAATGTATATAGTAAAAACTTATATAAATCTATTTTTATCCTTTTCCCCACATTCCCCTTTCCTATATGGAACATAAGAATAGCTGGAATAATTGCTACATTGTGATTTCGGATCTTAAAGAGGAAAGTTCCAATAGCAGTCAAAACAAAAGTTTCAGCATGACTTTGGCATGTGAAGCCATTCACTGATTGAAGAGAAAGATAACTCCAGAGTTAGTCACCCAGACCTGGATTTTCCCAGAACTTCAAAGATTCAGCCAGAAACGGTATATAAAAGGGCAATATGCGAACACAATCAAGGCTAATCAAACTTATCTGGTTACAGGATAGCAATCAAAATTAGTGTTATTAGTATAGCACTTGACAGATATTCACAAATGTCATAAAAGTTTTTTTAGAATAAATTTAGGATTTAGGATTTCTACATAATAGTGTATATGAATCCATCATCATCATCATCGGCTAAAATCTTAATTTGAGTTACCCAAACAAACTGCTTTTTTAAAAAAAAACTGGAATAATTTGTATATTTAATTCAAAATTTTTCCAATGGCTCGTTTTTAGAAAGAGAAGAAAAATCATAAATATCCCCATTGGGGCTGAAAGTAGACAAGTGAAGTAACATATGTTATGACTTAGGGACACAATTGACACCAAAGATATATTATGATGGAACTTACACGACTGTCAAAATTAATGTCATTTGCATGACGACATGAGATCATTGTGGCTTCTTCTGTTGAGCATCTGTGCTACAAAAAGAAGCATTCAGAGAAAGATGCTTTTTTACCTGATTGGTGCCACTTTCCCCCATGAAAGGAACCAGATAGGCTTTCCTTTATAGGAAATACTAATTGTGCTGCAGAATAAGAAAAAAATGTGGTAATACAATTTAATGCCCATCCTGAAGGTTCAAGGCATTGTGAACTATACAGTTGTGGAAATACATCAGTGTAAACATTTGCAAAAATTGCAGAATCATGTAACTCATAGTTGATTAGGAGGTAATGTGATCAAGTCCTTGTTAAGTTGATATTAGGAATGCTTTGTGTTAAACTATAAAGGAAAAAAGTCAGATATCTTAAGAAACATGAAGTGATACATCAAATTCTGTTAGAATTCAAGACATAAAACCCAATCACAACAATAGATAAAGTATTTCAAGACACTTCAAGAATCTCTTTATGGAGAAAGCAAAGGGTGTGTATATTCAGAAAGCAGAATATAAATTCAAATCTGTTTTGATTTAAAAGAAACAAATGAAGGCTAGTTTATTGATCTTCATATAGAGAGTATGTAATATTTTATTATTTTTATTGCAGAACCCACTTTCTGACTTTACAATGCTGTTTAAACTAATGGGTAAAAATTATATTGTTATCGTTGAGAAATATGGTTAATAAATGAGGTTCATTGGGAGACAGACATTAAAAAAGTATAAGCTTCCATGTCCTCCAGGGAAGAATTTATCTACTATTATGCTTGCAGTATTGCCAAGGTATCTACCATAATGCTGTTGTGCATGAAAATGGCAATTTTCTGTATTGGGTCCTCTTACATTTGACTAACATAAAGAAATAGTTTTTAAGGAATAACAATGACTGTTGAAGAATACAATGTCCATCTCCAGCACAATGAATCTGAAGTTAGGTTATACAGCAGTCTTCGTTGAGATGTGCTGGAACTAAATTCTTACAGTTTGGAAAGAGAAAGGCTTTCTGGTTGAGAAAGGCTGACATACAACATTAGCAGACTTTTGACTTTTATGTTTTGCTTGTGAGAGTCACAGGAGCAATTGGATGAATCTTATTTGAAACTTGGTCTGATATACCACATTTTAGTACATGCTCATCATTTTCATACTTTCTACATACATTACGCTGGGATCACTGAATCAGCCTCTCAGCTCCAACCCACTAAATCATTGCTATAATATACCAAAACTCTTTGCTATGCAATGAAATTTCTAACCCAGGGCTGTCAAACTCAATTTCATTGAGGGCCATGTCAGGGTTGTGTTTGACCTTGGGGACCGGGTGCATGTGGCAGGGGTGGGCATGGCCAGCTCGATGTCACTCGTGTCGAGGGCACCCCTCCCAGGCTCTGTTTTTGGCTGCTGTGGCCTTCTCCAGTGCTTTGCGAAAACGGAGCTTCTTTTAGCTGGCAGAGTGCTGCAGGAGGCCATAGCAGCCGAAAACGGAGCTCAGAAGGGCCACGTACGGCCCCCGCAAGCTCTGTTTTCACTGGCAGAGGCACTGTGGGCCAGTCCTTCACTGTTTGCAGGGTGACCCCACAGGCCAGATCTAAGTATGCTGCAGACTGGATTCAGGCTGTGGGTCTTAAGTTTAACATCCCTGGTCTAACCTATGCCTAATGCTTATGT